ATACTTTTGATTGGTTGCTGTGTTCTTCTGTTCCACCTACACTGTACTTGTATCTGCCACATTAAGACCAGGAACCAGACCATTCTTTGAAGAATGGATCTCAGACTTTATTTCCATAAATAAACATCCTCCATGGGTATGAATCTACCAAATAAAAAGAAAAAATATATATGGAAAGTAAACATTGGATTTGATTTTTAACAAAAATGAAAAAAAAAAAAATTGCAAAACCACTGAACAACCAGTTTGGGCTTGAACTTGCACGCATCAGCAAGCCACCCCAGCACTTCGTTAACACCAGGGAACTCAAAACATTATACAGACTGGCTGTGTGCAATGTACATTGCCCTAACCATAGCATTTAGATATTGCATTATGAGAGTACCAGGGAGGTGTAACCTGTTGCATTATGAGAGTATCAGGGAGGTGTAACCTGTTGCTCCTGATCCAGTGATTTTACTAGGGCTAACCCTCTCAGAGACTGATGAAGTAATGCCACTTTAGGGTCACAAAGGAGAAAGCAGTGTTTTTCAGCTTCAAGGAGTGTCTTTCTGCATCACTGCATCGTTAAAATACAAGGGAAATGGTGCCGAAGAGATAGACCCCATGAAACAGCTCTAAAGCAATGAGGTTCTGAATAATGCACATCCCCTCTAACACTCTTGACAAAGCTGTGTTTTGAATCAGTAGCGTATCACGACACATAAGCCACTTCATGAACCAGACAACAAGGTTTGAGGCAACAGGGGTGTGATTAACAATAAAGGAACTCCATCATTGTCACAGGTTGGTAGCTTAATATGATTTGACTTAAGACTGGATACCTTGTGCTTTTGTCGTGATTGAAGTGTGATGGATTTTGCAATTGGCTCAGAATGAGTTAACACTCACCAGTTCTTCCAAGAATCACACCTCTTCCAAAAGAGATTGATTCCATGGTGTACCCACAACCCTACATCTCTGGAATGGTGATCACTTGATGTTGTGATATTGAATACATTTGTGATGTACATATACTTGTATTCTCTGAATAGCAAAGCATGCTCTTGGCATGCTTTTTAGTTACATAGAGGGTTGATGCTTACATGGAAAATCCTTCCTGCAGAATGAATTGCTCAAGGTCAATAAATTCTTAGTTTTAAATCCAGCATTAATCTACATGATTAATCTCCAGTCTAAAGCGAAATTTGGGTTTGTCAGGTTTGCTTGGAAGCAGACTATTGGAGACTATCCTTGATCCAGAAATACATGTACACTAGACCAGTTCCCTGAAAGAATTACCCATCTTAACGAGCCAGTGCCACCCAGACCCTATCTTCCTGCTGCCTTGGATTATTGCCATCCTGATTTCTTTCGCCCGTGGGCATGCCAAAAGCTTTCTGATCACCAAGGCAAAATGGTTATCATGGGCATTGAACAAGGTTTTCCCATTCCAGACGGTGTTGATGCCTGATTAGATAAACACTAATGACACTCCAGGAACTGGCCTTGCTGTCTGTGTTCACAACTGAAAGCACCATCTATCTGCACACCAGGCCACATTTGGATTAATGTCTGTGATAATGGTCATTTGGCTCTCCTCCCACCCCCCCCAAAAAAAGTTCACAAGTGAATTCTTGAGCACACCATGAAAACTTCCATCAATTCTGGTGAATGACTGAAACAGTTTAGTGGCATAGCTGCATTAATAAATTGAGTAAACATCAGTATCAGTGTTGGCACTTGGCTTGTTGATGAGAAAGCTTAGACTATACAGGAACACAACAGCCCTTTAAGTTTGAAAGTGGGAATTACAGTTTAGGAGGAGATATATATTAAAGAATGCAGGAGTACATTTAACTTTTTATTTAGGAAAAAATCAGGCATGCTATTTATGAGAATTTTAAAAAATGAGCTCTGAAGATGGAGGGGCGTTTGCCTCCATGGTTTCCCCTCACGAGGCATAATGAAGTCAATTGAGTTTAGGGAACACAGAAAAAAGATATCACTTCCATTTTCTGCTGGACAAGCCAGGCATTTACAACTCGGGTAATAAGGACTGACACACTTGTACTGCCAGGTTATGAAGAATCTTAATTCAGTTTCATACATGTACATGTAGCTGCAAGTTGTCTTTGAGTTTCCAAGCCCACAATTCTTTCAGCCATTCCCTTTTTTTTTTAATTTGAAATTTTCTCTTTACTAAAACAGACTTTTGTGAGCAGAAGCAATGCAGGAGCAAGTTACCAGGTACATGTATTTATTTTACACGTACTGGTACTTATGTGGCGCATTGCATCAATTTACATGCACTGTAAATTTTGTGAGTTGGTTGGTGAGAAATTGGTTGTAAGTTTACAATCTAGATGTTTGGACAGATCATTTCAAATGCCTACATCTTCCACTATTACTGCAGGTCACAGGATCATTTGTAGACATTTACCAATGTCCGAAACAGCTTTATTATCTAAATTTGAAGAACAATTTTGACTCCTTTAGTACTGTCAGTCGGCCTCTTCAAATATTGACGGAGATACCGATATGTATGTTTTGTCTTGAATGAAGTTTATATAGGTTAGTTAATTGGTGGTGAATGTCTCCTAAACGAGGTTAATGATATTTGTTGCATCTACACATGGAAGTCACTAGTTGACATGGACCAATCTTTTCTACCAGATTGATCTACGGTACTAGCATGTGATCATGCTTACAAGTTGTGTGTGGCTTCTGAAAAAGAGCACAGCCAATGCCTGTAATGCACTTCTTTAAGAGATTAGCATTTGGAAATGCCTAATTCATATTTTAAATTCTAATAGTTTAAAAGATTCCACTAGCTGCTGTTAATGAACAGGAGGAAATCAATCGTATTAAATTAGATTTTAGTTATTAGAGAGAGATTATCTACTGAAGCGGGATGTTAATCTTTGGCCGCCTGAATTAATGGCCTTCTACCAACAGTCTTTTGAATATTTAGAGTGTCTATAATTCGATCCTGGGTTGGCAGTCTCCCAAATTTGTCAGAGGAAATGTTTGTTCTGTCAGTAGACCTACTGGGCAGAATCTGTATAAGGCATACGTGCACAAGTTTTTCCTAAAGGGTGAGATGTCCGCCACTCATCCTGGGAAAGTGATGGTGGTGTGTGTCACTAAATGGAGGATACAACTGTTTGTTTCCATTTCTCAAATAAATTGTAATGGTAAAAACTGGGTTTACATGGTGTAAAGTCATTTAAACCAGCCAAAAATCTAAGTGATGTGTACTTGTTGGGTGAGAATTTTCCCATTTTTGGGGGGGGACTGCCTTTTTTTTTAGGGGGAGGAGTTGACCATTTGGGGCTTGGGTTTGGATGTCTAGTCTTCATCACTCATTTTTATTCAAAATTCATAAACCCAACCCTGCCAGATCTTTCAAAACGCTTGATGTTTTGGAGAAGTTTTCAAGGTGGAGAAAGCTACACCCGATTTAGGGTTGCTTTACATGGAACGTGATCATGCCCTTTGAAAATTACAGAAGATACATTGGTTGTCGAATGGAAGATTTTCAACAACTCTGAAGGATCCAGGACTGCTCACGTCACCGGTGTCAAGGATATTTGTGTTAATAAGTCAGTGAAGTTGTTAATCTACATGTAATTTGACTCGAAACCAAGAACAGTGCTTTGGGATATATATATATATATATATATATATATTCACACATGATACTGTCTAGCAATATGCCTGGCTCAGCTACATGTACATTGCTACTGTAGTTATAAAGCAGTTGAATTGTTTGTTTTACCTGAATCTGTTTGAATTTATTACAATTTGCTCAGTGGGATTGAAAAGGATGAATTACCAGCATGTATGTGTTGTCTGTTCATACATCAAAGCAAAACTGTAGGCACATCATGAATTTCCACTCCAAAGGCTGCCGGTATTATGAATTTTTACTGAAATGCCAACCATGTGCATGTATAGAGAAGCTAATGGAATGGCACAAACAGCTGAACACACATTGTAAAATAAACTTCACATGTTTTTCTGCTTGGAGAGTGACACACAAAGCCTTATTTGAGATAATGTTGCATATACTGTACATGCAACTGTGTCAGATGTTACTCCATTACTCACTCACTTATATGTTGTTACTCCATCACTCACTCACTTTTAGTTGCTCACTCAGTCTTGTTGAGTCCTTTGGAGACCTGAAATGATACGGATCAAGTTGTCAGTGTTCCAAGCTGTTGGCCTCTTGTCTCACTTCTATGGACAGTTAGCTTCTGAGGGTGTTGTGTCGTCCAACCTGACACTGACTCTCTCCACTGCGCCACAGTACAACCTCATTGGCTGCCTCCCCCTCCCCTCAGGAAATGGTGCCCTGCTCACTTGCAGTAGTGTAGAATGGCTCAGTTACAGTCCATCAAAGTGTTCCAGTAAGATTCCCTTCCCCCCCCCTAATCATTTTGCAGGTTGCCAGTGCAGTGTCACCACTGTGGTCAAACTGGGAGGAGTGGACCAACTGCTCCAGACAGTGTGACTGGGGAGTATCACTGCAGAAACGCAGATGCCTACAAGGAGCTTGCCAGGGACCAGAAAAGAGATACAGAACCTGCAAAATCACAGTAAGTGCAGAGCATTCCCAAACCCCCAAGGAGTTTGTACACAACAGACAAATTGTTACCAGCCATTTTCATTTGCATGTAATACATGGATGATGTTGGAAGGAGAGCTGGGGTAGACCTTCTACAAAGTGAGGGGACAGTAGAAAAGTCAGGACCAAGTTGCAGGGATAAAAAATTGGTCCCCGCAGCCGTGTTTAGTCCCCACAACTACAGTTGGAGCAAGTACAGTATGTGTGTTCTGTTTTCACATGCCTTATGCTTGAAGTTGAATTCAGTGGAAGGGCAGTTTCATAACCCTTAATTTGGTGTTGGGGGTGCAAGCAATTTTTTGGGGGGAGGGTGTTAACTCCATTTGAGGGCCTGTGGCACATGATACTTGTAGATCCACCAGTGATTCAGAATATACTACAATGCAAAAAATTGGCATTTTTTCAAAAACCAGAAAACTGTAGACCCTGTTGATAGGTGGCGATGATTTTAAGTTTTGCTCTCATTTTCTTCAGACTAACTCACTAATGTTAGTCTGAGGAAAACGAGAGAAATACTTAAAATCGTCACTAGTGATTATCTTTCAACTCCCTTTGTTCTCTCTCCCCCATACCAGGACTGTCCTCCTGGTACCCCAGACTTCAGGGCACAGCAGTGTGCCCTCTCCAACAATGAGAGCCACACCGATGGGAAGATGTATCACTGGATCCCGGTGGAGGGCCTCCCACCAGACCAGCAGTGCACGCTTACCTGCCGGGCCCAGGGAACGGACATGACCAAGGTCCTGTCACCCAAGGTGCTGGATGGCACCATGTGCTCGGCCGACTCCAGAGACATGTGCATCCTGGGACGCTGCGAGGTGAGTCCGTTCAGTCTGTCCTGACTCCGTTTGTTATAGCAACACTAATCTGAATGTTTGTGACCTTCTTGACAATGATCATTTACACATTACATGTACATAACATTAAAACTGCCAGAATAAAACGAATTCTTTCCATTTGAAAAGGGGATAAAAATTGGTAAAAACTACAAAAATGTCGGTAAAGGCACTACAAACCGAGTGACCCCTTTTTCTGTGGAGAGAAACTTTTGGAGAAAAACACTTCTTCTGTTTTCTTTTTTTTTCTCACTTTGAAAGTTCTGATACATGTACATGCATCCTCAAGAAGTGTCACTAATGATTTTGAAGGTGGGGTAGAATTTTTTTAATAAACAAAGTAGGTCTGGAAATACGACTTCATCACAAGGGGCCACATTTTCAAGAAAGTTCTTATGCGATGATTAGCCACAGTTTTTGTGGCTCCTTTTTTTTCGAAGGTCTTCCTAGCTAGTGTGATAATCTTTAAAATGCTGCCCTTTCATCACACAAGGTCACTCAAACTAGGTCACAGGTTTATTAAAATGAAAGTGCCTTTATACCTCAGAAAAGTTAAATTTGTAATCCTGATGAATGAAATTCTCCACCAGAAATTTTGAACCCAGGCATATTCTGTCATCACGTGGTGGCTTGCCGACTTCTCCCAAGTATGTTAAATATTTCAAGGGGAGATCAGGTTGCACTCAGAGATCCCGAGGTGGTCAAAACTGAAGAATATGATCCTCCATGTGATCTCACCTTTCTCTCAACATCAGTCATGAACGCCTCTGTGAGCCTTAGAGAAGAGAATGTACTGTGTGGCCCAGCCTGTGTGTAATGTTAGCACAGACATTCGGCAGTTTATTTTCTTTAACCCAAACCAAGACTAATGTCAAACATGCTTGAGAAACACTGATGACAGATTAAGTAAGTGCTCTAGGGGAGGCCCCATTGGTGTCATATTAATATTTTGACAGGCGGGTCCAGAATTAGTCACCTTTTTGATCTGCCATGGTGACAAATATTTACTCCTCCAACTTGATCAGTTGGAACTGAAGCCATCATGATTTGTCTGTTTACCGAACAGTGACTGTTTCAATAGTAAGTTATACAATTTCTGTAAAAAAGAAGGAATTTCATTCCGTTTTTGTTGAAAATCAGGATGTTACAGTTGATCAAAAAAAATTGTATATATTTTTTCCAGAGTGTGAAAATTGTTTGCTTTACTCCTTTTTCTTCTGAATGAAATGTGATACACTTGATGAAATTTCCAGAAATTGACTTTTTTTGAACAGGTGTACGCCTTCTCTGAAATTATAATCTTCCCACAACTTCAATTCTCAAACATAATTCTACATAATTCACTGGAGCTTTAAATACGTCCAACCATCCAGCCATCCACCGGTATTACACTGAATTCTGGCATGGGATGGGGCTACACAAAATTCTGTAGACTATTTTAGAGGGTGCATGGCTTGAATGTGAATCCTGCTGAGCTAAACCCCCCTCTGAAAAGACGTAGTGATGGAACTGAACCGTAAAAATCACCCCAACATCACACGCTATGTCTGGTCAGATATAAGTACATGAAAACCGTCGTTAGTGGATTTTGTTCGCCATATTTTCAATATTAAATAGATGACACTCTGTACACCCTCATATGAATACAATAAACTTCTTAACCAAGCCCAGGGGAGACTTCTAGTCTCCAATGCCATGCCCTGAAAGATGTATTAACTGGGTGTTTAAAAAGGCCATTTTGTCGTTGCTCTATCGGAGGATACTGCTCATAAAGTCCAATCCCCCTGGAGGTGGGGTATTTAATACCTCCAAATGGTGTTTGTGGCACACCAAGACAGAAAACCGATACTTAGATTAACCTCAAGCACAAGTGCAAGTTTGAGCCGAAGTCTGGGAAAGGCTTAGTGAAGGACTAACAAGCCTGTCCTCCCCAGAGAAAATAAACATTACATCACAAAATGTGTTGTGTGGGACCCTCTGTTTGCCAGTTTTTCTTGAGTGTTTGCACTGTCTGAAAACCTCAGGGTGGTGAGTTTTCTTCGGGTAATGAGTTTGGCCCTGCGGTTTCAATTTGTTACATTTCTTCTAAGGCAGGAAGATCTTACTGCAAATAGGCAAACTCAACTTCAGTTTAATCTCACTGGTTTTTCAGATGGTTTTCAAGAGCTTTTTAAACTCATGGTCATCTCTAATAAATGTACATTCATGCATCTCTTGAATTTGTGTTGCCATGGATCAAAAGAAGAACACGCAGAATGGGGAAATCTTTTTTCTACAATACATGCATGAATGTGTTCTGAACAATTTATTTGAGTGCCACTCCTAGCACTGTGCTCTGTTGTGCATCTGTGGTCAAGTTTTAGTCAAGTGTTAGTTGAATCTAGTGATTTAACTCAGTTAAGGAATTCATCTGACTTTGTAAATGTGAAGTAAACTGTTGCTTTGGACATTTCTCCATTCTTGCCCCCATCACACTTCATCTTTTCCCCGATGCTGCTTCGATCTGATGGTCCCCTGGCTGGAGGATTGGTTGGCCTGTATCAGTCTGTCTGTTTGGCTGTTTGTCTCCACCTAAATCTCTTGGTTCCTCTCTTGTCTGCCAGTTTATGTGCTTTGCCAATCCTCAAGTCTCTTCCCATTTGCGTACAATGTGCATGTTGCCAGTTCCTGCACTCCTCACGGCCTTTCCAATTCCTGTTCTCAATGAAATTTAATGCCAGACACTCCGGGGAGTGATGGGCTGATTTCACAAGCTGTGCATGTACCTCTCCATGTGCCTCACTTCCTGCACGTAAATCACACATTTCTCTGACAGCTACCAGCATATTTTTGACATCTCCTAAAGTCACTCGGCCAAGTTCAGGCCCCGATCTGGCTGTGTGTCTTGATGGTGATTTAACCTTTAAACCCTTGTCCTTGAAAAAAAAATATATTAAATAAATTTCTGACTGTGTGGTATGTTCAGTTTTGTCCTGATAAATCATATTTGTGAGCAGGTGTTTTTTACGAGGTTTTTATTTCTAACTGGCATTTATATTCTGTCTGCAAGCTGAAAAAAAATCATTAGTCAACAGTAAAGATAAGGGGTTGCCTTGCACTGCGTAGAAAACCTGTAAGACCCCACCTTGACAACATCAAACGCTTTCTATCCTCCCAAAAAGCTTACAGCACTGACGCTTATTTTTCCTCTTTGTGGTTCATTAGTTTTTCTCTGGTTGCATGAACCCTGATGCCAACAAATGATTTCTCCCCTCCCATTCTCATATCAATTTGGAAATTCTTTCCAGCAAATTCACGTACCTGATACTGAACATGAACCCGGTGTGACACTCAGATTTGTAAACTTTTGCTATCAAAATTCTGTGCTTGGGGAAATTCTATGCTTGGCACAGCTCCATTCAGTCGACCCCAGTAACCAGTTACTTGAGCATTGTAACAGAACATAATGCTTAGCAAAAATTTGATGGGAAACATCACAGGGCAGTATTCATCCATCAAATGACATTTTGGTTTGCACCCTGTTTGCACTAAGCAGATTTTTTTCTGGTCTTACACTTAGGTGTGCTTAGTTGCTGCAAGCTTGAGTACTGGTATTAAAGAAATTCAAGTTAGTTCCTGTACATGTTGCTAGCCTAGCCAGCATTGGCCCTCACTACTCTCTAAGACTCTATATGACCTCGTTTTCTGTTCTGTCTCCCCCCCCCCCATTCGAATCTCTATGGTTGTTGGTGTTGACCAGAACCCTGCTGTTTTGACAGCTTTTTGTCAGGGGATAATCCTGTCTTAGCATCAGAAGCTGCTTGTGATCAAACATGCCTTTTACACCCTCCCAGTGTCTCAATAGGGTTTTTAGGGGCAACGTTTACTTGTAGGCAGCATGCCAATTGCCTTATTGGTCTGGTCACATAGAGATACACCGTGACTTTTGGTGAAGAGGGGTAATCGCAAAGCTCTTGGGAAATGTTCCTGGTTGGCAGGCAGCATTGCGAGGAAACTGCGGCATGTGCCGTCCAGAGAAAAAAAAAGGCTTTTTCTTAACTCACAGAGGAAAAACATAAAGACATTGAAATAGAAAGTGATGGAAAGATGCTTAACATAATATGTCAGAAATGTCTTAAAATTTCTGCGATGACTTTTGATTTTGAGTTAAAGTTATACATGTAAGTCCCAGACTCCCCCCATCCCCATTTCTTTTTGTAGTACCAGTTCATGCACACCTCTATCCACAAAAGCCATTTCAAAGTTAATTTTCATGCATGAATTTCATTTTCTCAGTCTTCATTACTCCTTCACTAACCCTGACAGTCCTCAATCCTCCAACAGGTGAAGGATTGAGGACTGTTAGGGTTAATCATGATCTTGTCACAGTTTTGGTGCACTGCTTTCTTTTTTTGGGTGAGAATATATCGACACGTTATTGCACGTTCCCTGTCTTTGCACCACCGTCAATCACGACCTGCAGTCCAAACACCTTTTACACTGATACAGCAAATGTGGTATCTTTAGCCGCTTCCTTTTGTTACCTTTTGAAGATGTAATGAATGATCATGTACAGAATATGTACGGATGATGCATAATTTGTTCTGTAACATCATCCATTAGGATTTACAGGTATGTTCAAGATTAGGAGATAGTGCAGTGGCATAAACCCTGCATATTTGAGAATGGTGAATTAAAACTGCAATTAAAGGTTGTACTTTTAAATGTATCGTCTGGTTGAGCACATTTTTGCTCCAAAATATTTCACTGTGAATACCGGTACTTTGTGATGTCTGTTCCAATTGTGCATTTGTTTGTGTTTATCACAAATTGAATGAAACACTGATTGGTCAGATTGCCATAGAGAACAGCAGTGAGTAAGTGATGCACACAATTATGTTTGTAAAAGGCATTAGCGCAAAACCCAGGGTTTGACCCAACATGTGCCATTCGTTTGCACTACACTTCCTGGTCCAAATGACGTCAAGCTTCAGTACTTTATATCGCTCATGAGCAAAATGGAGATGAGACGCAGAAGTTCTGGAAATGAATTGAAGTATACAAATACCAAACTCTTACCCAATCATTAATACCTCAATGATTGGCACTCCTTCTTTTTGCCACCCAGGCCAACTTTTATTGATATACCAGAATTAATCTCATTACAAGAGGATGTGAATGGGGAAATGGGAGGTGATTCAGCCCCCCCACACACACACACACACACTTGTCAGCTCAATTTAATGTTCCCATTACCGGACCAGCCTATTGGGAACCGGCATGGGCAGGTAAGAGAGAGCCATGTTTATCCAGGGACTACCTGTCAACCCCTGAGGCTGCTACCAAACCGCTGAATTGGATTGTCACGCGATAGTTTGAATTCTCTGCCAACGAAAACAGATTTGAGCACCGGGGTCTTTGGATCAAGCAGCCTCCCGGCACTTTGGCATAGAAATTGAAGTGGTTGGTCATTTATGTTGACCACCACAATTGGGGAAAAAACACCAAAGGTTGTTTGGAAATTCGTCCCTGCAGGCTGGGGCACTTTGTACTTCACAGTATTCTTCAAATTTGTCCAACAATAGCCTCGTGCGTTGTTGCGGGAATTAATCATTTGCAATATTTCAAACTAACACAAAAATGAAGAGAGGAAAAAGCACCCAGAAGTACAAGAACCTGTATTGCCTCCAGGAAAGAAGTAATTCTGGAAAAGGTGAATTGTTGTATGGCCTACCCGTAAAAAAATTCTGAAACTTGTACCAATTCCATGCAAGGTTATAGACCTAATCAGCCATCTCTGTACACAAAAGTCAGTGCAAATTTGTGGTCATCTTTGTATGCAGAGTGAACTTTATCGTCACGCAGTTCCACAGAAATGGTGTTCAGGACACTTTTATTCCCATCAATAAAAGGATACATGTAACTACCCAGTCACAGGAGAAATTTTAGTTCTCTTTTTTATTTCTTTTTCTGTTTTCATTTAAAAACCAGTGGAATGAAAAACCATGTTGTACTTACCAGGGGATGGTGATTTAATTCGGGGGAGGGGAAGGAGACTAGGTGTTCATTTTTTGTGGTTCTAAATTCTTGCATTCATTTAACTGTCAAATGGCAGGATGCACAAACTCTCTGTGTTGTGGCCAGACCCCGCAAAGCAGGCAAATAGACAGACCTCTATCTTGTGATGTCTCCCCAGATTTTGTCTTATTCACCCAAGACAGACTCGATGATCAGAAATCAGGAACCACTGATTCCATGCTCACCTGATTTCCTGCATGCATTAAATACCGATACCTCAAATGTATGCATACTGTATGTATCTCGGTACCTCACGTCTACCAGTTTGACATGCGTAGGCAAGGAGTACCATCCTACTGCAGCTAGGCCTGGCATGGTCGTTAGGGGGCCTACGTGCACATTGTACACTCAAGTGTTTATTTCCCCCTGAACCGGGGTTCTCACTGTGGGGGGAAAGGGGATGAGTGGGAGATGTGGATGTTACAGTGGGGGCACAAACCCCAGCAATATTTTCCTACACGTAATATATATTATTGTTGTCTTAAATTCTAAGATTTCCAAGGGGGAATTTTTTTTATGGGGGCATTCTCTGCCAGCCTTGTCTTGTCTATGCCACTGCCCCTGACCAGTCAAGCGTAATTGAGTATTTGTGTCATCCATAAGTTACAGGCAATATCCACAGATTGAAATTTCGACTGGTTTCAGCTAAGTGAATGTTTTCTTTATGTTTAGTAGATTTTTTACTTGAGTAGCTCTAAGTTTACCCTGGGACCAACAGACTTTTTATTCACAAGTTGCACCGGTATATTGAATATCGGCGATTCGCAATAGTGCGCCTCCAAGAGTTTGCAATGCATTGACTAATCACAATGCGTGAAACCTGTTGACCCTTTCAAAACACGCATTGGGTCGACAGATTTTGCGCACTTTGATTGGTCAACATGTCGCAAACTCTTGGAGGTGCGCTATTGTGAAATGCCCGTATTGAAAGCAGGATTACCGGTAAATCTTTTATTTTGGGAACTTGAGAGTAAAACTGAAAGCAATAAAATGAAGTTCAGTGCAAATTTGTGCTACTTTGTGGTGATGAATAATTTAAAATTTGTGATTTATTATATCTAACGGTATTAAGCCACATTTAACAAAAATAAAAGTGAGGCTTGCAACCTAAAATAACCTGTCATCACCTCATTGAACCGGTGAATGTTGTATGATATAGATTCAGGGGTACACGAACATGAACCGTTGACTAAGCCCAGAAAATATTTTCTCAACAAAATTTGGAAATACCAGCTAGTAGTCCATTGCACAGTTTTGTTACTTGGTCTTGACGGATACACATTTGCCAAGCAATATTTTCTATCAAGTGGCATTATGAAGTTGGGCCTTGCATGGTGCCAAATTTTTCACTAATTTAACTGGGTGACTTCCCATTGTGCAAAACAAAGAAATCAACACAAGTTGTCTCAAACTCGATGCTGATCTCTGGCAGAAAGTTACGTACATGGACCATTTGAGGATAAATTACCCTGGTTTGCCTCTGAATCTCAAGTGGGAAAAGAGGTCATGAGAGCCTCAAAATGCAGATGAATGTTTTATGATCTCTTATTAGACCCAATTTAGAAATTCTTTCCTTATAAGACTTTCTCTGTTGAGTGTTACTAATTGGAATTTTTTTGTTGCTAAAGACTGGGATATTTTTTCACTGATGATTCTGGCTCTTAAAAATGCTGATGAACTTTATTTTTGTTCTTTAACTTTCCCTTGTAGCCTGTTGGTTGCGACCACCAGCTCAACTCTACCGCGACCCTGGACAGGTGCGGTGTTTGTAATGGCGACAACAGCACTTGCAGGCTGATGAAAGGGAATCGGCATACCTCGCCCTCTGCATCAGGTAGGTAGAGCCCCCCTGTTATTTGAGCAGTACTCTGCATGGGGGAACCCCTGTAATCTGGGCAGAAGCCACTGCCATTGCCTTAGAAAAACAGTTTTCTTATTTAGCCAGAAGAGAAGGGTCTTAGGAGGATTCCCTGACACCATTGTTGTTTCTCGATGTGGATTTGTCCAAATAAGCTCCGCAAACAATATGGAATCTTGGAATTCTCTAAACAGGGTTTTGTTTTCTCTTCCCGGGAAAAGTTGTCCTGAAAATTTGGAAGAGTGTTGGAAGAAACCGTTTGTGTGATGGTGTCAGTGTTATAGTTGAGTCCTTCACAAGTCCCTTGTCCTGAGAAAGGGACAAGTTGAAGTTGTTGTCAGTTGCAGTCAAAAGTAGCAGGGGATGGACGGTATTCCCTTGGAAACCTTCTTTGATAAGTTTTCTGAACGTCTTCAGACTTGTCAAGAAAAAATGCCAACTGTCTAACCTGATGCTGGGCAGATTTTTCTCTGAGATAATTGTATCTTGGTGCTCCACGTTCAGCCTGTCAGATAAAGTTTAGGTGTTTATGAAATCTGTTGATGGAAAGGATCTTATGTATCACCAGTGATACGCATCAGATCCCACTTATGTTGAGACTTTTTAAAAGTGCTTGAACCATACTCAGACATCAGTCTTTGACAGCCAGGTACACGTACTATGAACTTGAGACTCAGTGGCTGAAAATGTGAGTAATACAGGAGGAGGTGATGAATTGGATTAACACATGGGTCCCTTGCACACTTGCCCTCATTTCCCCTTTGGGTCGTTTTTCCTCATCGCACCCCAATTCAGTGACCTTTTACTCCCATGAATCCTCCTAGCACCCAGAAGCTTCCACAGGAATTAAGTGGCTCGGTGGGAAAGACAAAACAGGATCCTGTGCTTCTGTAGCTGGGCTGTATAATTACTGAGATCCATTTGGGTGGGGGATATCTAACAAGCGACGTATCAGTTTTTGGTGTCGGGAGGCAAAGTCAAAAACGAATGCAGCTTTGGGCTCATTTAACAAGTATTAGTTTTTGTATAAAAAAAATCTTGGGGGGGGACAAGTTGTCCCCCTCCCCGCTTGATACACCATTGGAGACTACGTTAATTTCTGCAGGCCCAGCCCATCCTTTCTGAAATAAAAGTGCAACTGTTTTTTGACAAATCACAAATAAAAAATGACACAATTTTTATCATTGTAATACAAGTCCAGTTTCATAGGATCATATAGACCTATTGCAGCTGTAAGTTTTGTTGCATCCAGGTAGGGCCGGGCAGTTTGTGGGGAAGATGAGGGATACCGGTACATGTAGTGTGTTCTATGGTTCTCTGTAAAAGCGTACTCCATAGGATACGCCACACACACAATTATGTATGTAAAGAACATCAGCACGAGAACCAGTACGTGAACCAACACAGACACGTACTCCATTCATTTGCATTACACTTCCTGGCTCAAGTGACTTCACACTTCAGTACTGTATATCTTAATACCAGGAGTTTGGAGGGATTGGGTCCCTAATGGACCAAATTTCTCACTGCTTGGTACACCACCATACCAGTCTTCCAGCCCTCACCATTGACCTGCAAATTGGTGGAGGTCAAGCAGAATTCCTTTCATGCTGTCTAGATTTGTTTTATCACAGCTTGCGATCTGTAGTATCACTGTATAATGAGAGCTTAGTGCATTCCTTTGTTTCACTGTCCAACTTTCTATAACTGTACCTAAAAGGCTGGAGGAAACGAGATTATTGGCATATGTCTAATCTGATTGAATTCTACACTCAGTTTCATTTCTTTGAGGAAATTGGAAACTTCAAACTTGATGCAATTCAGAGAAAAGTGGGTGTATAATACCTGTGTGCCTGTCCCCAGCTTTTGTACATGTACATGTACATATATGTCTTTCTCTACAATGAACTGAATGTTTGGACTTTTTTTGTGGGGCTAATTGAAATTGACCCCAAACAAGGAAAACTTCTTCAACCATGTGCGCTGTATTTGCTTCATCCGTCTTCTCTGGACCTTACTGTGTACAAGCATGCCCGTCTACCTGTACCCGAGCTGAAGAGTGGGATACGTTGTCAAGCAAATCACATTGGACGGGCTCGAGTAGAGAAAGTAGTTGAATTTTCCTGTAAATGGTCTTCTTGTACAGTAGCTCCAGTTTTAGCAATAGGCCCAGTTTCTTTCACCAGTGAAAATTTACTTACAAGTGTATTTATCCAACTTTAAAGAATCTCCAAGCCATAAATAAACGCATATCTTTCACCACTTTTGATACCTCGCCAAGCTCTGTGTGTAACAAAGGAACATTATATACAGTATGAGCAATAATATTATAACCCTGTGATTTCCTTTCTTTTTGAAGAAGAAAGCCTTTCTTAAATGTGGAATGCTGTACATGTAAGACTGGAGTTAAATTGCACCGTGCAAGTTAAGATTGTTTCTTTGAATCTTAATCTTCCATGGATTATTTGCTATTTGTACGAGGTGTTTATTGGCATTCTCTTTATGGAAAATTACAGATCAAGCGAACCCAATGTTGCTTTTATCAGGGTTGCTGTCTTGAAGTACACTGAATGCATGTGCACTAGATCACATGTGGAAGCGTGTACATGTACTTAAGGCTTTTACAAATGGGAAGTACCTGCGCCAGATTTCATATACCCAGCAAGAAAT